ATCTAATCTACTCTTAGCCACTCTATTGTTCTGCTCCTTCCTGTCTCATTAACACTTTATTGACAAGTTGCCATCAGACTGCTTAAATCAATGCCCCAGTGAGTCAAAAGAGTTCAAATGTGGGAAACACAGTGCACCTGTGGATGTTCAAAAACCAAAAAATAAAATCATTCCTTCCTTTTGTCAACAACTATTTATTCCCTAAATACACCTGTGGAGAATGCTATCCTATACATCTCGCTCTGTGAATGCTCACTCTTACCCTACTCTTCCAACCTTATTCTCTTCATCATGAAGGGCATATGGACTCTTCTTGTCCCTGTCAGTTCCCTGGTAAATCTGGGAAAGCTCTGAGAGGTGGTGGGCAGGGGTCATAGCTGCAGTTTGTGGTGTACAGAGCAGCTTTATTGCTTAACCACGTCTTGAGCCCTGAATCAGGGTCATGATGAAAGCCACCAGCTGTAACATACTACAAATACTCCATGATGTCAATGGAGTCTCCGCAAACATGCCCTGTATCATCTTGTGGAGCTTATAAGCATCCATCAGGTCCAACTGGAGAAGAAAAGTCTGCGTTCCTAACTGTGGTGTTTTAGGCTCCATTGCCACAGTCTTTGTTTCATTTGACACATATTTGAATTTTACGCTGATTTGGTGCCACTGTGGAAGTTTGGGAATCAAACATGACTGACTCTGGAATCATTTTGTTTTAAAGAAAACCATGGAAAACAAAATCTGTGGCCTGTATCTGCAAATCATTGCTACATTTCCCTTCCTTGAGCTACTGATGCAAATCAACTGCAAATTAGTCTTTGTGTAAATCCATAGAAATGATTCTAGATTAGGCACTGGCACTGCGTTGGTGGGAAAAGAAGTAATAGCAAGTATTTTGCGCCACACCTGTTTTGGGATGGTGCAAAATGGTCTAGGCAAGGACATGCATCCCCTACTCCATCTGATCCAGTTTTGCCAGAAGTCAGAGCTTACTCTGACTTACTCTACCCAGAAAAATTATGGGCAATCTGCAGCAAACTGTTCAAGTGAGAATGCAATCACTTGTTTGAACAGCTTTTGATTGGGGCAAAATACTTAAATGAAGTAGTTTCCATTCCCTAGATTGTGTTGTTTTCAGATATCTCGTACTTGTCAATGTGAAAGTACCTGATATACATAAAGTCAAAGCCTTAGGCACATCCTAGCCACTGTTACTTATTATCACTTATTTTTGGGAGTGTTCCCAAAGATCACTGGGACAAATGTTAGATTCATTTTGAAAACATCAAGTGTGGCTGACCCTTTCAGCAATCAGACAACATTACTCACACTGATTTTATTCTTGGGCTCCTGTATGGGCCTCTCCAGCCACAGCAGCTATGGCAAAAAAAATGAAACAAGGGTGACACAAGTAAAGCCAGACCTGCCCCAAATAAGCCCAACAAATACAATCGCATCAACATTGGTTTTGGAGATACTACTTATCACCTCTTATGCGCTTTTCTTATGTATAAAAAGAAACAGGACATTGAAAAATATCAATTACTTTAACCTTTTGGTGAGACCATCAAAAATATCCCTACTCTGATAAATTTCCAAAACCACCCAACCCCTAAGTGTCAGTTCAGTAAAAACTCCATCCACTGCTCAATTAACCCTGAAATAAGAGAGTCATTAAATGCCCCAATTACTCAATAACACTTATACCAAAGTCACCCTTAAGTGTTCCTTTCTTTCTAACTACACATAAAAAACACGTACACTAAGGCTCCATAGAGATGATCAACTATACTTTGTATATCCTATTATTTCCTGTTTATTTTACTCTCCAGCCTTTCTCCATGGATCAAGATGCAAGGTCATCAGGTGAGGCTGTGTGTCTTTTGTCTGCAGTCGCCCTGCAGATTGTTCTGTGATGAAGTGGTCGTCTATAAAGTGTGACCCTGAGGTCAGGGCTGAAACCTAGGCGGGGATTCATTATCCGAAATGGGAACAGAGCAAGGTGATTAATACATTCTGTATCCCGATGTATAAAATGGGGAGTGTTTATTTAAAAAACATAAATATATGAACGCGAGCCACTCTTTACTTTTGTTGATGTTTTACGTTTCTTTGACTTGACGGTGTAATTAATTTCAGAAGGTTAAGAGGTGGTTTTGTGCAACACGAGCTCGTCTTGAATCAATGCATTTGTCACCAACCCTGAATTTAGTATAATTCCTATACAGTCAGTCTGACTGCATCTTTCATCTTCACCTGCCCTGATTGACAGTCTAATTAGAGGTAAAGTAATGGTAAATGTAATCAGGGCTAAATTACAGCCATAACTCACTCAGTGGAGAGCCTCATACCTGCAAGCCAATCACAGTCACAAACTAACAAACTGACCTCACCATCCATTTCAAACATAAGGACCTGGTATTAACATCTCTCAGCACCACAGGCCGTGCTGAAGTGGTTTTTGTGGAGTGCTTACAAGGTCGCCGCACCCACATTACCAAAAAGGAGAGAAGAGCATATTTTCTCACTTAATGGCATCGAGAATGAGACAAAATGTGTTTTGGGGGGATTTGGTTGACCATACTCTTTAAAACCCATCTGCCATTAGTGCGTGACATGAGTCATTGTATCTTTTTATTGTGTCAATCCAGTTTGAAACGTCCTATTTTCAAAGGGTAGTAATCTTTCTGTGAAACTACAAGCATAAATTACAAAGACAAACAGGGGGGTGTGAGGGGAAGGTTTTCATACAGTACAATACATACAAAAGGAACACTGATTTTCAGAAGTAAAAATAAAAAAGTACTTTGTACAACTGAAGACATATTTCATGTGGGTTTTTTTGAGACAGACTTTTATTTTGGGGGGCAGGGCAAGGTTTTGACCTATACTGCAGCCAGCCACCAGGGACTTGGAGACATATCCATGGAGAAACTACGGAGGCTGAAAAATGAAGCACAAGTGCCAAAAACTGGAGTTTCTCTAGTGGCTGGCACCAAAAGTAAGTTGGTCACATACACACCAGTGTTAAAATAGCAAGAAAAACATTATGATCATGTTTATAGGTACAAGAAAATACATTTAGATGTGTGTGACTGGTTACTTTAGGGGGAGGGGGAGCCCTCACTCCCCATACTTTAAAATCACTGAACCTGACCTTTCCACCACATGGGTGCCACCCAGTGTTGCCAACTTAAAGACTTTGTCGCTATATTTAGCGAGTTTTCAGACCCCCTTAGCAACTTTTTTTCTAAAAAGCGACCAGCGACAAATCTGGCGACTTTTTCTGGTGTTATTGGAGACTTATTTATGATGACTTTTTGACGTGAAAGCGTATCGCTTTTACTCTCAACAAGCAGCGGGTGCTGCCGTGGGCACCTCACCCCCCCCCCCACACACACACACACACACACACTGTAATGCAGGGTGGGAGCAGCAGTAAATGTACTTTTTTTTTTTGACTAAAATAAATCAATGCACTAAAAAATATCATTCCCATCATTGCAAACTTAGCAATCAGATGCCCTTGCTGAGCCTTAAGTCCGTCTTGTACATCCGATATGACTGAAGCTGTCTGGTGAGGCTTGCTGTGTCCATTTTGATTTTAATGGTTAAAAATGTTCTTCTTTTGCCATTACTTTTTATGGATCACAAGGTATAAAACTATAAAACAGACACGCATTCACACACACAAAATAACTTGTAGTTCTATGTATTCTAAATGCTTTTAGGGTGTTTTTTTACTCACTTTATGTCTCTTCCATGATGTTATTTCTCTCTCCTACAGCGTCTGTTACAATTACATTAGCATGACCAATTATGCAAATTAGGCGATGGCATCATTTAGCGACTTCTAGCGACTTTTAGGACAGCCAATAGCGATTTTCCTTACTGAGGAATTGGCAACACTGGTGCCACCTAAACAGTTTGCCAGCTAAGCTTGCAAGCTAACAGTTGCAAGCTAACCAAGCTTGCAAGCATTAGCACACACTGCACCTTCTATCCAAATACAGTAGGGCTAACTTCTGACTCCAAAAAAGTACCAAAAACTACAGCAGCGGTTATATTCCTAAATTCAGGCTTCTAAATGTAGCGAGTATGACCATGTTTCATATGCAGTCTATGATAAATAAGAATCCATCCAACACAGAAACTAGCTGCCTAGCAGACTAAGTGCATTGAAAAAACGTTGCACAAATACATATAGTGTGTGACTACAGTGGAGAGTTTTGACTGTTTATCACTCAGTTTTACTTCACTATAAAGAAGATGACTGTATATTATGACTTCTGATGTCTCAACAGCAGGCGTTATGCTAAAGGAGCATTAAGAGCACTGACAAGATTGTATGAGATTAGTCCACATTAGGCATACAGTACGGTTGAGCCTGTGAAGAACTTGTTTGACAGAGACCCCCATAAACTGAGCTAGCCAACCTCTTATTTGCTGCCTAGAAATGTGAATTGAGTAAAATCAAATAATCGTTTAGCTTTTCTAGATGTTTCTAATACTATTGCATCAAAGTAATTCAGTTCTGACCTGCTTTTGTTCTAGTAAATGTGTGTGAGTGTAAAAATGCCACTTGGTTCAGAATGAATAAGTATTATGATCACTGCACATATAGTACCTACAGTTCTTTTGAAGCTCTTGGTGTCCTGTTGGTGTCTCTAAATTAGAGGACTGCTGGGCCAATGAGTCCTGCCAGAGCCACACCCTGATCAGAGGGCTGCACCTCCTGCTCTCCCAGCACCTTTTCCACCTGTCATTTGATTCACATGCTGGCCAAGAAACCACACAGTGCCCTGGTGAAGAGCGAGTAAGTGTGTGTGTGAGTGTGTGATTGACCCATAGGGTGAACAGAGATCAGAGGTAGGTGCCAGATCAGATCAGATCAAGGCTTTCCAAGTAGGATAAGCTCTACTTATGCTGCTTTCAGAAGGGTCGTGTGTGTGTGTGTGTGTGTGTGTGTGTGTGTGTGTGTGTGTGTGTGTGTGTGTGTGTTCCTTTGTGTGAGCCCTCAGGGCTTTCTTGTGTGTATGGTCTTGGTTTTAATGAGCAAGGTGCTTCTTTGACCCCTTCATGTCGCAGCTACGATGAGGTTATTGCGTGGTTAGAAAATCCAGGTCATGCTCCGCTGATCGACTCAGCTGTTTCAATGAGGTAAGTCTGTGGGTTGCAACCAGGTTTTATTTATGAGCTTTTTAACCCTACTGCTTACATTTATTTTTCAGAACACAGGTTAAACTCAGCAAGAAGAAATATTAGTCAGATTTCAGTCTTCAAAATTCAATTCCAGCACCAGCTAGTCAGCTTTCGACAAAACATTCTCAAAATCATGTCAGAGAAAATAAGCTCACAATTATGTTTTGACAGTGAAGACACTTAAAATCCAATTTTAACACTTGTAACTTCACTGGCAGCAACATTTTGTTGTCAGCAGCTGCTAAGCTTATGTCAGAATCTTCAGTATAAAAGGGAATTTTTAAAAAAGTAAATGATAAAGTTCGGCATACATAAAAGGTTAAGTGGCAAATTCCCTCATAGGTACAGTTGAGGTCATCATCATCATTAATAATTAAGGAAATAAATGGGACACTAACCCTTACCTTCTGATCCAGTCGTTATGCACAATCATATATAATCTGTTACAGTGTTTAGAAAATGTACAGTACAACATTTAAATATTAAATTAGCAATAGCTATGTGCACTACATCAATATCATGTTTTATATTTGGACTATATTAAACTGCACTGTCCCTTTTAAATAAAGAATTATTATTATATTAAGATCTGATTTGTTTCTTAATAACATGTCTGGATAAATGATAACACACACTGTTACATGTAACAAGTGTAGAACACACGACTGACTAGATCATCAAGGCCACACTTGCTGTTTGCAGTTTGATTTGTGAAGTGATCACAATGATGTAAAGCATTGTCCATAATTATAATGACATTCACCTCCTCAAATGCTTCCAAAGGTGAGTCAGTCCCAAAGACTTCCATGTAAAATGCATCATTTTACAGCAAAAATAATTATTACACATTACTAACCGTTAAGGTTGAATGTTATTTATGGTCACCTTTGAGTGACAACTACGAGCTTTTTTCTCATGTTCAGCATTAAATAATAAAACACTCCAAGGTTCAGTGTTTTTATCTTTTATATACGTGACACAGTCATGCTGTATTATTATTTATCACGTCAATACTTATTCAAGTTGTCATTATACGATTATGCAGTTATATGCGTTATGTATTATACAACCATCATTATACGACATGGTTTGCAGAAAGCTGAGGTGTCAAACATGAGGCTCTAAGGCTTTACAGCAGTCTAAACAACCTAAGTGGTGACGTATTGTGCATCTTTCTAAATAAATTGTGGTGATCAAGTTCATAAGGAAAAGCATCTGTGGTTGAAATTTGAACATTTCAAAGTTGCAAAGCTTCCTGGGGCTCTTCTGCACTGAATGTTCTCCCAGTGTTTGAGCGTGTTCTCCAGGAGCGTTGGTTTTTCCTGCCATTGAAAAACCTTGCTGCCTGTTGATGCCAGGTTCATTCTCACAAAAGAGTCTTAATCTTAGGCATTTCACTTCCTGGTTAAAATAAGATTTTAAAAAAATATAAACACTGCTCTGCATGTTAATGAAGCATTTAAACTGCAGGAGAAATCACTTTAGAAAAGAAGAGTACATTAGCTTTAGCTAAATTAATCTCAGTTCATCTTTTTATGCTTTATGGAAGAGGTAGATGTGTAAAAGTCAAATTGTGGCATTAACTTGATTAAAATATGTGGTTACAAGATTAGTTCATGCATTACTGCAGTCATTATCCAAATAATCTACAGATCATAACGTAGACACAACACAGACACTACCTTTTCCCAGAACAACAACCTTGTTTGTCCTTGTTTCCTTACTTTCCTTACTTATTCTTTTTTTTTCCTTTCTGTAATCTGGAGCACTGTAACCAAAATAATTTCCCCTACGGATCAATAAAGTATTCTGATTCTGATGATTCTGATTACAAATACCTTTTATTCACATTTTAAACACATTGGCCCTTTAGTAGCTGTGCTAGAAAATGCTTGTGAACTATGTGTTAGTTTACCAGCATTTACTAACCTTTATACAGGACAGAACTGGGAGCGTGAACTTGTGTTTAAAGTTGTAAGAGGTAAAAGTGAGGACTTGTTGGGTCATATTAGATGTAAATGGGGTATTTACACTGATATATTTTGCTTTCAGTGTCTTACCTGACTAAAGTCTTGTTCAGCAGTTGGGTTAGGTTGTGACTTCTCTAGATCTCAAGAACTTCTCCGGGGGGGAGGGGGGTATAATGGGCTTGCTAGGCCAGCCTTAATCTGCCCTAATGCCCTGATTCAGGTGCCAACATGGCTATCAGCATAGCCACGTGTCCTCACAGTCAGGCTAATCAGCAGAGCCACACCCTTTAAGCCCTAAGTTAAAAGATTAGCACAGCTGAAGGGATGAAGGTTTTTCCACATGGAGGGACGGACAACATTTAGAGTTAGTTCAGAAGCTGGAATGAGCCCACAGGTGCTGCAAGACTCTGTGTGTATCGACAGAAGTGTTCCTTTATGGATCCTAATGGAATAATAATGAATTGTAATTGCAAAGAGCCTCTCTCTGGGTCTTGATGCATTTTTAGTATTGACCCGTCTGAGCTGAAGCATGAAGACCTTGCATTCCATATTGATTTGCCTTTTACAAGGAGAACCAGTGGTGTGATGTATTTTTTCTCGCAGTTTTCTGCCATTAAAATGTATTATTACATAGGCCACGGATGAATACTCATAACACACATTGACAGGATCCAACCTCACTCAGCCAAACCACCTGACTCTAACCGCTAGAGACAACAGGTTAATGTCCCGGCACTCAGCGGGGCTGAGTGCAGAGATAAAGTGTACGAGTGCGTAAGAGAGAGACAGATACGGGGAGAAAAAAGAGATTAAGACTACCTGGAAAGCCTGTCCTCATTTCCGCAGGCTTTCAGACACATCTGCTAGCATTGTTTAACATCCCATTGTAAAGAGAGACGGATTATTGCTCCCCTTTGCCTCTGAGAGGAGGGGAGACAGTGTAACGACATGGACGTTATCCCAGATAAATCTGTTATCCAGGGTTTGTGCAGGGATACTCTCTGCAAGGGGATTAAAGACAGAGAGAAAGCATAGCAATATGAGAGTAATCCCATCCAGTTTTCTCTTTCACCTTTTATAAAACCTGCTGTCATCAAAAGGACTTCTCTTCACAAAATTGTTTCCGCAAGTGTGTTTTTAAATCATTTACAAGCTCATTTTGAGGCTCAGAGACGGCCTCTGCAACTAATGGACGTATCATTGTTGTGAAAGCTGTTTCGTTTTTTCATTCCACAGCTTACAATGAAAGAAAATTAATCCAAAGCATTGCTCATATGGATTTGCCGGAATAATTATGCATTCTGTCCAACTTCAGGCTTTTGCTTGATTACAATAAGAAAGAACATTTTCATGGCTATAAAGTGATTTGCAGTTTTGCACCGTTTCAGGATTGTGTCCAATTTAAACAATAGGGCTTTTTATTCATATTCATTATCATTTGTTTATTTGACCCATTAGCTATCCATCTGACAGTGTTTTTCTCATATAATAAATGGAAGGTGCTGTATA